AAAATCACTAGTACAATGATTTGGTCATAAGTCTTTTCAACAAGTGTGAGCTTTTTTCGAGTTTATTCACGTGTTGTAGATATAAGCATATCATCCTTCAACTGAAAATTCAATTCCCGGCCGAAAACTCGAACCAGCACAACATGCAGTAATCTTATAGCGCAAGTGTAAATTGCATGAATTGATAAAAAAATTGATGCGTATTTCTCAAACGTTGTCAAACAAACGTAGTATTATTATTTCATTGGCTCGGATGGGCTCGGGTGCTCCAAATACAGCTGCAAGCCTAGAGGATCACTGCTCATGGACTTGATAGGAATTATCTGAGATGGTTGCTGCCACTGCTTTGTATCTGTTGGGACCCACAAACCGGCATTCTTGCTACTGCTAGCCTCGGGCAAAGAACGAAAGTAACCTGTTATTTCCCACCTGGAATCTGTGACACAAATGAGCTTAAAAAATAAATAACTTGATTTTCCTATGATGCCTCAAGATTAAAAAAGGACAAAGCACGGGCTCATTTTCACCCGAAAAAGGATGGTATTATAGATTGAATCTTGAATTTGAGAAGGGGTCACAAAACCGAGCATAAGCAAGTTAAATAATTGGCAGTTGAATTCCTTAAGCTACAGTCACATACAATGGTTGTCCTACTAAAAACACCTCAAATGCAGCCAACGATTTCCCATTTACGAGACAAAGACTAAACCTTTTAATAACTTTCAAACAATTTTCATGAATTAGGAGGTGTTTTTCACAAATTTATTAGATAAATTGCTATGTTAGCCGAGAAAATACTCAAAAGTATTTACTCCTCTAAATCACTTTCTTCTTCTAGAGGAAAACAATCACATTTGACAACATAACATACCCAATTAAAAACAATAAATCCACACTTACTGTGGGGAAGAGCCTTAGTTAGAGGCTCTGAAACAGGGAGTTTAACCAAAAATGACCTAAGAGAGAACTCTAAATCAGCTTGCTCCACCATAGAATTATAAGACTGGTTCACATCAATCTTGAAAACAAATCTCTCCACCGGCACATTACCATCCTCGAAGAATATCACGACGACCCTTTCCACCAATCCCTAATTAAGGCAAAAAATAAAAATAAAAATAAAAAATAAATAAATAAATTAAAAAATAAATAAATAAACAGCACAACATTTTCAGAGAGAAGAAAAGCCTCAAGAAAATTTCACCCCATTAGAAGGTAAATAAATAAAAACCAATAAAAAGTTGCAACCTTTTGGATAAAAGGTAGGAGCCCATGAAGAGCTGTATGAATATATTGATGTAGCTGAGGGTGTACGGCTTTATGAACCACCACGTTCATGTACCGCCGCCTCTCGAAGGCCGCTGCAAATTCACACTGTTTTTTTAGTTTTCAGACCACAATCTTAACCGGAATAATAGGGTTAGTGAAGTAATTCTTGGCCTTAAAACTTACCGTTCGGATAGATTCCTTTGAGGAAAATGACAGAGGTAATGGCAACTTCAAGAAATTCAACGAGGATTTGGGCGATTTCAGCTGGAAAAAAGGGAAAAAGAAAAGATGATTTGTGAATTTATAAATGAAATTTCAAGAAGTGAAAAAAAAAAGAACAAACCTTGTGGAGTTCGATTGTTTCCCATTTCTTATAATCTTTATAATCCTTGTGTGAAGAGACGATCATTCAAGAATTTGTGATTTTCCACCATTTTCCTTGTGTTATTTTAGTTCTGAAAAATTGGGTTGCTGGACTTGCGATTTCCCGATTCTCGTGGTGTAAAGTGTAAAATCCAATAGTTCTAAAACTTTAATGGTTGTTTATAATTGTAATTTGGGCCAAGTTTATTTTAATGCGAATCCAATATGTTATAGATATATAATTTTTTTATTTATTATTTTGAAGTCTATTATAATGCACATTTCAAATGTTATAAAGAAAATATATCTCATAAATTTGATTTGAACAATAGATTAATGAACATTTTAATATCGACAAATTAATAAAGATAAAGACATGGCTGATTTTGTCTATTATTGCTAATCAAGAGATACAATTGTGATTCCACTAAAAGCACCCACAAAATAATATTTTGAGTCTCTTAAAAAAAATATTACATGCCACGTAACATATAGGCTTAATAATAAGAAAATATTTTTCTAATGCAATTAAAATTGGACATGGTCTAATTTATGTGATATTAAAAAAATGAGACCAAATATATACTTGAGTCTTTTTGGACCCAAGTACAAACTTAAACAATCAACATTTATTCTTAATTTTTTTTTAATATAGAAAACATATTACACCTTTTTTATTAGTAATTGACAAGTATTCTAGATTTAGTATTTTATTTTTGTACTGGATAACTTTTAAGTGTTTTTATTTGGATTTGTTCATATCATTCAGCACCTAAATTCTTTTATACTAGTAATCACCCGTGCGATGCACGGGGATATTATTATCTAGAATGTTTTTAAAAAACAATTTTGTACATAAATTGTGTTAAGCAGGCAATGATCATGATCATAATAATAGACATATAAACATCATTAAATGGAAAAGATCATATATTATTGAACACTTCCCTATATACAACATTATTGGTTTGATTCGTTGGCACGTCATCTTCGCCACAAATTAAGATTTTCAAACCTTTTCGGTTAGTGACACGGGAAACAGCAACATATAACTGGCCATGACTGAACACTGGTTTCTTAAGAAATAAGCCAACATGGGATAAGGATTGTCCCTGACTCTTTTTTATAGTCATGGCGTAAGAAACCATAACGGGAAACTGTCGCCGCTGGAACTTGAAAGGAATTCGAACATCAGAAGGAGTTACGGCCATTCTTGGAATCAACACCTTATCACCAGCATGATCCCCTGTGAGTATCTTACACTCAAGAACGTGAGTCGATAGCTTTGTCACTACCAATCGTGTCCCATTATACAAACCCATAGAATGATCCATGTTCCGCAACAACATGACTGGAGTTCCAATTTTCAAATACAACTCATGGTTCGGTATTCCGGAACACTTGGTACTATTCAAAAACTCAGGCGTATGGAGATCAGACAAAAAATCATTATTAGAATCCGATTTGCACGTACTGTCAGAGCTCAAGTACATACGACCATCGCACGAATTCAATGATGTCATGTACTGATTGATAGACTCGACCACATCCAACGTCGGCGCTAATATAGCTCTATCCTTCAAATAACTTGGATTGTCGGGTGCCTCTTTGTACATTGGATATGTGCTTTCAACGATCTGAGCAATAGGATCATCAGATGGTTGAAGCAAAATGTCCTCGGGTATGTCTATAGGTGCACATCCATCATTCAACCCTCCGATAGTTCCATCTTCGATGTTGGCTATCCAATCTGCAAACCGTGCAAGCTCATCACGTTCATCCGAATCAGCAAGTCCCTGAAGGCGCATGTTTTTCGTAAGCCTAAGCACAGTACAACTCCTCCATATGTCAGAAGCATTAATGGCAGCATTGACTATGTCCTGGCGGCTACCCTTTGGAATGACAGGAAGGATTTGTCGAAAATCTCCACCAAAAACAACCGCCTTCCCACCAAACGGTTTGATCAACTTCAAAGGATCAATTGCTCCCATAATACTCTGCAGCGATGTCTGTACAGCTTCGAAACAATGCTTGTGCATCATTGGTGCTTCATCCCATATTATCAGAGAAGCACGAATTATCAATTCCGCTAGAGACCTTGACTGATCGATGTTGCAAGTAGATTCCTGGTGGGGATTCAATGGTATAGCAAATCGAGAATGCGCTGTTCGTCCACCTGGCAACAAAAGCGATGCTATTCCGCTGGATGCCACAATAAGACTATGTCACCTTTGGATCTCAAAGCAGCAGATAAAGTCCTCCACAGGTACGTCTTCCCAGTTCCACCATAACCATATACAAAAAGACCCCTCCTTGGCCGGATTCAACAGCGGACATAATTGTTGAGTACACACTCCTCTGTTCGGCTGTCATTTTATTAAGGAGCATATCGTGTTCAACAGCGAGGGCCTTTCGATCATAATTCAATTCATCCAAAATTAGACGATTAGAACTTGAATTGATGTTCTCCCTATCCGGAAATGGCATAGTTTCATATTCACGAAGACTTGACCCACGTCGTCTCAATAAATTCTCAATCTCAGCAAGTGCCAGGTTCTTGATTTGTTCTTCAGTGAGCACCAAACCTACAAACCAATTATTTTTTAGTAAGAATAAAAAAAATACTAACACGATTAGAACATCTATATAAAGATAAATATGAAATTATGATTAAACATTTTATAAAAAGTAATAGATTACCATCATTATTGTGTAGTCGGCGATGTCTGTACAGAATTTCATCTGACATGCATTGCCAACACTTTGTCCAGACATCATCCGGCCTTCCAAATGAACCGGACACTAACAAAGATGCAAACATGCGTCTAAGGGAGTCTGCAGAAGCCCATTGACTTGCTTTTGTAATGCCGTCTATATACTCCCTATCGTCCTCCAACAAACCGCGCTCGTAGCAAGCATCACGATACGTTAGATGCTGGACTTCACCGACTTTCATATAGTCTTCATGACATGTTGCCCCACGCACAACAGTGAGCAATAGTCTCAAGTAGTAATTATTTCCACTACCGGGAGGTACGTATCGTAAACGGCCTACAGAGGGTTGGTCCTCATCTTTTCGAGGTGTCCATTGCCTGATTGTTGTATTCCACACAAATTTTGATGGTGCCTCAACATAAGTTAGTTCCCTTGCGTTAGGATATATTTTGTTTGCCTCGAACCACGCAAGAAATTGGCTTTCATCAACTGTGAGTTTGTTGAGAACATTTTCAAGATCATCATCTTCGTCAAATAAAAGGTTCTGTTCTCCAAATAAGTGGAAGTTCAAACGTTGTACGGGAGGTTTTTTGTACTGCAACTCAAAACCCAACAGCCGCCATGCCGCCTCACACGAAGATATGTACCGACAATCGTAATACATTTTTATCTCATCCAACGGTCTTTCAATATCCCCTTCTGCAGATGTTTGATAGAATGATGCGGTCACACGATCATTACCCTTGTTCACATATTTGAATAGATATTTTATAGATCGTGATTGATTGCACCACTCAACATTAATATGCGCTTCAAACTTCATAAGCAGACGACGATTATGAGGCACGACATATCCATTGTGAACAACAATGCCATTCTTTTCAAGAGATGTTCCATTGTCACGACGTCTATACGGTGGATAACTATCTTCGTCAACAGTTGTGGACTCAACGAACTTCTTTTGAAATTTTTTAGTACATTTGCCATCCACCATACAGGGTGAGTTTTTCTTTACCAGGCCACACGGTCCATGGATCATATGCTCCTTTACTGCCTCGTAATATAGAGGATCAGACGATTGATCTGGTATATCTACAGAGATGATTCTATCTATGTCCGATGGCTCAGGAAATTTGGCCTCCATAGCAAGGAAGAGCAGTATATGAGCGTGAGGTAAACCACGTTTTTTAAACTCGATCGTGTATATAACTGCAATATAATATTGTAGTTAATATTATTATTCAAAATAAATATATATATATATATATATATATTTTTGTAAATGATTAATAAATACGTTGTCACCATTGTATACATTATCAAATGGCTCACCTGCTATAACCTTCCCAAATATTTCCTTTTGACAAAAATCTCCAACCAATTCCTTAAGTTTTGCTCGAAAGACCCTACAGACGATATCTGGTCGATCCTCAGGTCTCAACTTTTTAGGCTCGAGATAACGCACTATTTCTGTCCATTTGGGATTACACGTGAGTGTAATAAACAAATCAGGGTACCCAACCCATCTACAAATTGCCATGGCATCTTGATAGTTTTCAATCATATTGCGAGCACCACCAGTGAAGCTTGAGGGAAGAATTATTCTTTTTCCTAAGGTTCTTGGATCAGTGTCACCACGGAGAATGGCCTCAGCCACACCTTTGTACAAATCACAACGGAGCTTTTTCTGATTGAGACGTATATACTGCAACCTCGCAGATTCAACCACGGTATAAGCATCGACGGTAAACTGTTGATACAATCTTCTAGATGAAACAATAGTCGGTGCTTCGTGTTCTCGATCGTGCATTCTATATGCAAAGTACTCTCGTACACTAACATATTTTCGACCGCTTTTGTTCACCTTCGTGCCTTCCCTAACGGTATGTCCTCTCGATACCCATCCTCACCATAAGGCAACAAAAGAGAATATTGTAATGCCAAATATGAAGCATTAAGTTCATTTATCCGTTGAAGGCGACCGTTCCTAGTTTCGACCAATATGTCCCTTTCACCCATTGCCAGGTCAAAATCGCCAACAACCAATACAACAACTTCTGAACTTGTAGGCAAATTATATCGTCTGGCATCTTTAGATCTCCGACCAATCAAACGCACTCGAACATTTGATTTGCCATGCTCCTGTATTCTATCCCTAGCCATACGAAATGATTTCACCAGTTCATTGTGTTGATCCAACATTTGTTTCAACCCAATAACTATTTCCTCATGCAAATTATTATTCCCAGATACGTTTCTGCAAGAAAATTAATAACAATTATCATTATATGTTCGATTGAAACTTGTCTTGAACAGCATATATGAATAAAAAAATATATACAGAAAAAAAAAATTAAACAAATATTGAATATCAAGTAGAGCGAATTTATACCTCACAGCATTCATTCTGTTTGAAACTTCATTCTCCATATCATATATATATAATTGTGCGAACTTCGGACATGCACCTTC